GCACACCTTCGTTGAAGGCTCGTTTATATCCTACGAGAGATGTGACCTGCCTTGTCACAAGAGCGCTTGAGAAACTGTGTAACATCATGTGACGTCAAGCAGTTGAACAAATGTACAAGCAAGAATAGATTACAGTAGTGCCATCACCCGAGCAAGCGGCTCCATCATGCACGTTGCTTTTGCTTTCCAACCCTTCCATGGCGATGTCATATCACACCCCGACTGCAAAGCCGATGCCTTGGTCCATCAGCATTCTGCAGCGCACATTCAAAATGCGCGGCGGGTAAACGAGGTCAAACCTCGCTTGCGTGTGCTGCGTAGACCCAGGCGCCCGGCCTTGCTGCTGTGGAAAGAGATCACAGGGCGGCTCCAAGTAGTAGTAGTTGGCAGGCAACGCAATGGTTGGTGGGCGGTGTGCAAACACGCGGTTGATGTACACCGCGGTCACGTCATCATGTCGCTGCTGGTGATGATGATGATGATGGTGAACACGACTGCTGTTCACACCGCCCACACCATCGCCACCGCCGATACATGTGTCCTGTGTCATCAGCTCCACCAACTCTTCAACAATGCCGAGAACGCCATGTAATGTCCCGCCAAACAGCCCACCGGCAAAGGAGCACGGCGCAGCGGTCGTGGCAGCGGCCATATGGCGAGATGCACCTCTACCGCCTTTGCGCATGTCACTCGTGATGCTGCTGCTGCTGTTGTTGTTGTTGTTGTTTGCTATGCTGTGCATCAATGAAGAAGAAGAAGATGATGATGGCAATGATGATGATGGGGGTGATGATGAGGGTGGTGGTGGTGGTGGGAGGCCGAACAAGGCCGGGTGTGCAACGCCAACCGTGGCTCCAAACACTTCCTCGTGCACTGTGCTGGTGAACACAACCGCAGCGTCAAACACATACACAAAGGCCATATCCTTCAGCAATGCCGAGTGACGCAAGATTGTCCTGTGCGTACGCAATGCCTCCTCCACACGCGTGATACCAGGGCGCACAGATGAAGCAGAAGACACCTTGCTCTTGCTGCTGCTGCTGCTGTCACATGCAGACGTGCCTTTGCTATGGCGCCTTCTGCCGCTATCACCACCACCACCACCATTTTCACCATCTTCACCATCAGTATCAGCATCAACATCTTCACCATCAGTATCAGCATCAACATCTTCACCATCAGTATCAGTATCAGCGTCGCGTCCACGTGTGCGGAGCACATGTGTGCGCTCGTGAGGACCAAGCATGGAGATGCGACCACACACGGCCCGGGCAGGCGCACCGCCACTCCTCCCACTGTTGATGCTGCCACCACTCTGCGCGTGGTTGTTGGCAGTCCTGCTCTTCTTGCTGGCGTCAGAGCCCGTTTCACCCTTGACACGTGCATCAGCACCAGTACCGCCATCATCACCGTCATTGTCATGATCATCACCGCTCACGATGACGAAATAGTGCAGCTCGTGTCCCGGCAAGAAAAACTCCTCTGCTGTTGCAATGAAATCGTCAACAAACGGACACCGCCAACGCGTTGCATCCACCACCACGCCAACCTTCAGCCCGCGCTGCTGTTGTTGCTGCTGCTGTTGCTGTTGTTGTTGTTGTTGTTGCTGCTGTTGTTGTTGTTGTTGTTGTTGCTGCTGCTGTTGTTGTTGCTGCTGCTGCTGTTGTTGTTGTTGTTGTTGTTGTTGTTGTTGTTGTTGTTGTTGTTGTTGTTGCTGCTGCTGTTGTTGTTGCTGTTGTTGTGGTGGTGGTGGCATGAGACTAGCATCTATGTCTGCCTCACCACCAGCCACCCCGTCAGCCGTACCATCTCCATCTTCCCCTTTGTCTTGCTCTCGCTGCTTGGCGTCTAGCAGGGCGGGCGTGAACCCAAACGCGTACTTGAAGGTGGATCGGTGTGCCAACGTGTCTCGCACCACGTGCGTGAGGTTTGCCGGCCAGAACATGAGGGGATCATTTCTTGCGTAATGCGGATTGAAGCGCGTGCACGTCAACATTCGAGGGGCCTGCGATGCCAACAACTCGGCAGCACTCCTGCTGCTGCTGCTGCTGCTACTGCTGCTGCTGCTGCTGCTGCTGCTGCTGCTGCTGCTGCTGCTGCTGCTGTTGTTGTTGTTGTTGTTGTTGTTGTTGTTGTTGTTGTTGTTGTTGTTGTTGTTGTTGTTGTTGTTGTTGTTGTTGTTTACTATGCTGCGCATCACCAGTGCTTCGCCACCAAAGCAAGGCGACACAACGTCAACCCGTCCACGTGCGTACACGACACCCGAGGACAGCACGACCGTCACAGACACGTGGTCGTTGCAGTAGCCGCCGCCGTGCACATACCACAGCTGGGACAGTTCGAGAACCTCCGGGTGTGCCATGTCACGATAGAGCGGAATTACGATCCGCTTGTTTGCCTGCTGGTACAGCGTCTGCACGTGACCCCGCCCCGCCTCAAGCACCAGCACGGCATCCTCAGGCAGACGACTGTGTCCACCGCCACTGCTGCTGCTGCTGCTGCTGTTGTTGTTGTTGTTGTTGTTGTTGTTGTTGTTGTTGTTGTTGTTGTTGTTGCCATCATCACCGCCGTCACGACAGTGGCTATGATGGTGGGTGTCGGTGCTGTGAACGCCCTGCACTTTGATGCACAGACGCAAGAGGCGATCACGTGACCCGTGGCGAAATCGCGACGACGCGCTAACGGGCAGACACAGCGCCCCCATCATCCCACCGCCCGCATGCCCCCTGCTGCCGCTGCTGCTGGCAGTGTTGTTGCTGTTGTTGCCTTGGTCGCTGATCACGCTCGCGGCGTTCTCACGGTCACTTCCACCACCACCAGCACCGTCACCGCCATCCCGCTGATGCTGCCAGACGCATTCGCAGACGGGGTCAGGCTGCACCCATGGCGTGAGCACCAGCAGCTGCTGCATAGCACTCGTGGGCAAATAGGGCGCGTGCTTGTACGTGGCCTCAAACACGTGGACGGCAGCAGACGACAGCATGTGTTGCATGCGCGCGCGTGGCGGGATGTGCATCATGTAGTGCAGGACTGCGGGTCCGGGCAGGGGAAACAACACGTGCTCGTCAATCAAGATGACGCTTGGGTCCTGCATGGCGTTGAACGTCTTGGTGACGAGGTGCGGTCCAATGGCCAGCCGGTCACTGCGATCATACGCCAGCGTGTCAATCTGTCCAAGGATGCTTGCAAGCATTTGGTGGCGCGCCTGGAAGCGCAGCACGCCGTTGGCAAGGTACCACGTGCTGTCGACGCACCAGGGGCAGCGCGGCAAGATGGGCCGGCTGTCAATCTTGCCCAGGAAGTTGCGGCCAATGGCGTGGGCGAGCGGGGACGCGTCCAGCCACACCAGGTCCGTGTCGCTGAACAGACCGCCGTACTTGTACAGCACAACGTACCGCAGGAAGTCGCTCTGATGCGTGGGGAGGTGTGGGCCTTGCTCACGCAGGGCAGCGCGCAGCCACCTGCCGCCAGCAACGCCGGCGCGCACGAGGCGGGTGGGCACGATGCGCCACACATACACGCGGTGCGATGCCTGCAGGCTGTTGAAGAAGGTGACGGGAAGCGTGTTTGACACGATAATCACGCGCGCACGCGGGAAGACGCGCAGGGCGGATTCCACCGCCAGTCTGTTCAGGAAGGACCACGTATCGCGATGCGACGTCCAGACAAAGAAGATGTTGCAAATGTCGCTGGTTGGGTCGCATCCATCGGGCACGCCCCCTTCAAGGAGCCGCTCCACGGCATCAAATGCCTCCAGATGCGACATGCTGTCGTACAACAGCCCGTTGCCAGCCCACCGACGCTGCTGCTGCTGGTGGGTTTTTTGTTGTTGTCGTCGTCGTCGTCGTTGTTGTTGTTGTTGTTGTTGTTGTTGTTGTTGTTGTTGTTGTTGTTGTTGTTGTTGTTGTTGTTGTTCATGTGTGTGGCCAACATCATGTTCTTGCGTGTCATCGACACGGCTGTGGCCGCCATCGTCACCACTGTCGCTGGCAGCCGTCGCCACCAGCTGCCTCAGCCATCGTGCCTCGTGTCGCTGGTCCTCACCCGCCCCTCCCTCCACCGCACTCTCCACACCACCATCACCACCATCACCGCCATCACCAGCAGCATCACCACCAGTACCGCCGCTGGCGTCTGTGGAGCGCGTGTGCAGTGTGTGGTGGATGGCGCTGAGCGACGTCACAGTCAGGTCGAGTCTGGCCGGTGCCGGCAGCCCGTGTTTCAGCGACGCACGGCGCCGCAGCAGCGCAAACACCTCCCGCTTCTCACATGTGAGGGAAGGGTGGAGGGACACGCGCACGTCCCTGTACCACTCAACATCAAACTTGGCCATGATGAAACGCAGGAACGTTCGTTCGTCGGCGCGCACCGCCGTTGTGTCGCCATCGGAGGCATACAGTGCGTCTGCCCTGATGCAAGGCGAAGGGTCACCGCCTGCGATGTACGCGTCATGCAGCACAAGCAGTCCACCAACACGCACGTGTTCGCCAAGGTGCATCAGCCACGTGTCGGCCACGTTGGTCAGCGAGAGGGAGCGGGACGCAAAGATGACGCTTGCATTCGATGCAGACGCGGATGATGGCGACAGCAGAGGTAGTGGTGATCGTGGTTCAAGTGGTGGCAGTGATGATCGTTGAGGAGGAGGAGGAGGAGGAGGAGTAGGAAGAAAATCATGTGCTGTGTGCTGTTGTTGTGTTGAGTGCACGTTCTGCGGTTGCGGTGGTTGGTCGGGCCGGTGGTGTTGTGCGCGCGGATGCAACAAGCTTCGGCGTTGTGACGTGGCGAAGCACGCGCGATTAAGGGCCGGGGATGCGTGGCAGATGGTGTTGTGTACGCCGAGGTGTGGATGGGTTGGCAGCACGTCATCCATGGGCAGCAGCAGCCCAGACACGTGAGCGCTGATGAACGCGTCAGTGATGGGCAGACCGCCCGGAACCACCAGCACCTTCACGTCAGTGGCTGGCTCGTCATGAGGCTGTGCCTGGGCTCGCCACTGCGTGTGCAAGTGCGTGTGCATCTTCAGTTGTGCCGCCGCCATGTGCTGCAGCTGCGCCCACCACGCCCCACCAGTGGGCACGTCTGTCCCTGGAGCAGTGTGCACGATGTTGCGCGCTGGCTTGTCTCCAACAGCGGAGAGGGACAGCGGCAGCTGCGGTCGGTGCGCCTCACGCGCAGCCTGCATCACAGCTGTCCACAGCGAAGGGTCGACCCACGATACCCGTCCTGCCGTCTTGAGGTAATCGTCGCTGATGCAGTAGGCCAGGGCTTGTTGGTGCGAGTGATGAGCGTGCGCTGTGCTCCGAGTGTTATTCACTGCGTGGGCGCCAGCAAGTGCACCATCGCGAAGGGCAGCGTACAGCGCACTGCTGCTGCTTCGAGAGGTTGGTGCTGTGGCTGGGATGAGAGCGCTCACGTTGGGCGCGCCGTGAGCGAGGATGGTGTGTATGCATGCTTTGACGCCCTCGGGTAGGCCGGCGGAGTTCTGCTGTGAGCGACGAGCATCAAGGCCGTTGTTGCGGCTGCGCAGCGCGAGTAGCATCAGCACGAACACCGCCACCACAATGGCAGTTGGTGGCAGGCGGCGGCGCCATCGCAGAAGCGGCCGCCACAGCACCATGAAGGATGGGAGCTCGTGTGCGTTCTTGCGTGTGTGCGTATGCGTTGTGCGTATGCGTTGTGCGTCTGCGTTGTGTGTGTGTGGGTGCGTGAACGTGGAGTGTGGGTGTGAATGGGCAGTGTGAACGGGCAGTGAGAACGTGGAGTGTGAGCGAGTGCTCGGTTTGGTCGGTGGCAAGTTTGGACGATTTGCGACTGCATTAACGTTTTTCTTCAACGCAGACAAGAAGGATTGAAAGTCGTCCCTTGCGGTGGCACACACACAGTCGCACGCACACACACACAGACAGACACACACACACACACACACGCACACACACACACACACACACACACACACACACACACACACACACACACACACACACACACACACACACACACCCCCCCCCCCCCCCCCCCCACACACACACACACGTGCGCGCACGCGTAGGCGCAAAGGATCATGGGTTATTAGTTGCCCGTGCGTCCACGCAGCCACCTGACGTATTCCTTGAGAGAGATGCTGCCATCGTGGTTGGCGTCCAGCTCAGCCAGCGCATCATCAAGCGAACCAAGGTCATATCTACGCATGACACATGGGAGCAAAAGGTGTGTGAGGGAGAAAAAGCAAACGTTGGGCTGAATATTCGCGGTGCATACGCAACCAGTGTGGTGGCCTTGCGCAAACAGTTGCGCTTGTGAATGCACTTGTGTTTGTTGCATTTCTCTCAATCTCTCAAATCTCTCTCTGTTTCTAGCTCATCCCAACCCCCCAATCCCCATCGTTGTATCCTCCCTCTGAGTACCACGTACGATTGCTTGAGGTTGTCGTAGAGGGAAGCAAACTCTTCGCGCGAGATGGCGCCGTTGCGATCTTTGTCAAAGTAGTTGAAGTGGTCCGTCGTCACTTGCAGCCACTGCACACAGGTGCATGCGTGTGAGTGCATGCGTGTGAGTGAATGAGTGCGAGAGTGCGTGAATGAACGAGTGAGAGACAGAGAGAGTGAGTGTATGTTAGCGCAAGTAAAGCTGAGAGTGAGAGAGAGCGAGAGAGAGTGTGTGTGTGTGCGTGGCATTGGCTGTGTGGGTGTGTTAGCACAAGTGATGGCGAGAGCGAGAGGGCGCGTGTTCACATGGGTACATTGACTGATCAACAACGCAAACAAACAGTATCACATGGCTGCACAGCAAAGAAAACGCACCTGCGCCCACTCTTCGGCCTTCTTCTGGTTCTCCTGCTCATCCTTCAGCACCTATGATGGGTGATGACACATGTGTATATGCATGTGAGAGTGAGAATGGGCGGAGGGTGCATGAAGTAGTTGACGAGGCTGTGTGTACACACAAGTCACCAACAAGCAAAGCACACACGCACACATGACGTGTGCCATTGCATGCGTGCCCGTGGTAAACGCACCTGGAACCTGTCCTTCTGTGCCCACCACTTCTTGAACTCGTCATATGTGATCTTTCCAGATTGATCCTTGTCGATGATGCGCAGGGAGGTCTCAATCTGTTGTGCGTGCGTGTGTGTGTGCGTGTGTGTGTGTGCGTGTGTGTGCGCGCGTGTATGTGTGAATGTGTGTGAGTGTGAGTGTGTGAGTGTGAGTGAGTGTGTGTGTGTGTGTGTGTGTGTGTGTGTGTGTGTGTGAGTTCGGAACACAATGCGTGGTGAGCGTGATGCAAGGATGCACGCGACAAAGCATCATCTTTGCGAAGGTGCGTGTTGGGTTACATCCAATTACAACAAAATGACTCGCCTCCTCATCAGACATGGGGTGTCCAAGTTTGTACACAATCTGCAAAGTGAGGTGTGGTGGGTGTGCGTGAGGATAGGGACGAAGCAGAAGGGAAGGACGTTCAAAGTTGCAACAAGAGAGACGTGACACGAACATGGCACATGGGAGGAGAAAGGTAGTGCGTGTATGATAGGCGCGGCATTGCAAGACACTTTGCACACCAACACACACACACACACACACCAACATCCACACACACACAGACACACGCACACATCCACACACACGTACTGACCGCCTTGAGCTCGCTGGCGTCGATGTTGCCCGACTTGTCTTGGTCGTGCGCGTCAAAGATGATCTGCACCCGTCCGTGTGAGCAAGAGAGTGAGGGGATGAGGGAGGAAGGCCCTGTCTCTCCGTCTCGCTTTCCCTCTCTGTTTGCGTGCACGGAAACGAAGGCAGATCTCCTACCACAAGCCCCCCACCCAAACAAGTCTACCCATCCACGGTTCCGTGTACCCACCCTTGAGAGCAGAGGCATGGCGAGGGTTACAGCTGGTCTTGTCTGTCACACTGTCAGGAACAAGACAGCAAGCAAGAGTAAGATGAACGCAAAGGCAGCAAGTCAGCAACAGGCACCTGCTTGCTCGATGTGACAGGCAAACAAACAGACAACTCACAAAGAGTGGGAGGAGTTTGTTTGGATTTCTGCTCCGTGTTGTGTGTGTGTGTGTGTGTGAGTGCATTTTGCGGCAGTGGTGCTTGTTTGTGGCGTGCTGTTGTGTTGTGTTGTTGTCCTTCCACTGCACCAAGGTGACACCCATCCTCGTCCGCCACCTGTTCCACAGCACGGCCGCCCTCCGCCCTCGGCTGGACGCAAGGCCATGTTCATCTTTGGCACGGAAACCTTCACCTTTGAGGTAAGGGAGTGGGCCAATACACACTCTCTCGTGCCACTGACTGGCGACACCATCTCCCGGTTGTCACTCACCAGGTGCTTTGTTCTGTAATGTCCTCCTGTCACGCTATGCACGGCGCTGCTTCAGGGTCGCTTCCTTGGGACGGTTCCTATCAACTCTGTTCGGGCAGATGGCGAGGAGCGCCTCTCCGCAGCATGGCAGATGCTGACGCTCAAGCTCGACAAGCTGCACGTACGTTGGGTGTGTGTGTGTGTGTTTGTGTGTGTGTATGTATGTGTATGTTTGTGTGTGCGTGTGTGTATGTTTGTGTATGTTCGTGCGTGTGTGTGTGCGTGTGTATGTTTGTGTATGTGTGTGCGTGTATGTGTGCATGTGCGCGTACATGCGCGCCCATCTGTCTGGTCTCTGTCTCCATCCGCGCTCCACTCTTCCTTCCTCTGTGCGTGTGTGCCATTGTGGACGTACGCCATGTCACGCGTGCACACCCTTGCACCGCCTATCAAACAGGAGCGGCTGATTGACGAGACTATGGCCAGCAAGCACGGCGGTAATGCAACCGACGCCCTTAGACGGAAGATTGATAAGGCGAGTCAGTGCACATGTGGTGTGGTGTGGTGTGCATGTGTGTGCATGTGTGTGTGTGCGTGTGTGCGTGTGTGCGTGCGTGCGTGCGTGCGTGTGCGTATGTGTGTATGCGTGTGTGTACGTGTGTGTGCATGTGTGCGTGCGTGTGGTGATAGTGGGTGTGGGGTTAACTTTTCCCCGTTCTCACCACTGCTGCGCTGCACCATCGCAACAGCAACTCCAAAAGCACGGTCGTGATGTGCGAAGAGGAGAAGCGTCGGTGTTGGACATATCGGCTACTCATGTTACAGTAAGCACGCATACGATGCTACACATGCGTGGATTGTGTGCGTGCGTGCACGTGTGTGTGTATCTTTGTCGCGCACCGCTGTGACACCTCTTGTTCACCTCCTCACGCACACACACATACACAACGTACGTGGCGTGCCCAGCTCAAGGCGCGATGGGACATCAGCGTGGAGCCGACGCGGTTCGCATCGCTGCGCATTGCGGAAGTCGGCGTCCTGCCATCAACGATACCGGATATGGGCTGCGTTGGATTTGTCTACGAAGGTGCGATGATCGTCTGCACACGTGTGCATGTGTGTGTGTGTGCGCGTACGTGTCAATGTGTGTGCGTGCGTGTCAATGTGTGTGTGTGTGTGTGTCATCCACATCGAGCACCGCTTATTTCTCTCTCTCTCTCTCTCTCTCTCTCTCTCTCTCTGTGTCTCTGTCTGTCTCCCTGTCTGTCTGTCTCTGTCTCTCTCCCTGTGTGCTTTCAGGCCGTCGGTCCAAGTTCCACGCGATGCTCGTGCCAAAGGAGGAGAGCACAAAGTGCAGTGACGCAATCAAGGAATCGGTGAGCGAGCCCGTGTGTGCAATGTCGTGTACAACATGTATGTGTGTGTGCGTGCGCGTGTGTGTGTGTGTGTGTGTACGTGAAGCAGCTGCAGGAGCACCAGCAGTAGCAGCAGCAGCAGCAGTAGTAGTGGCAGCAGCAGTAGCAGCAGTGGCACTGCCTCAGAACACGTTTGTGAACGAAGTCCACCATTTCCACCCAACATCCATCCCCCGCTCATGCACCCCTCTAACAATCACATGCCCTTTGCACATCACCACCCTCTCGCCGTTCGTAACAACTGACGCACGCGCGCGTGTGTATATGTTGTTTTTTGG